AAAAAATCAATAAAATAATTTTCAGGTTGCTCTGGATGGAGCCACCTCGAGCGTGGAGCTTCTTAATCTGACACCACAGACGGAATATCTGGTTTCGGTCTTCCCTGTTTATGAGAATGCTGTAGGTGACGGTCTCAGAGGCATCAGTTCAACACGTAAGTCGTGAGGTTTCCAATGTCTTTACAATAGCAAGCAAAAGGAAAAACAAAAACGCCATCACAATCCTAGGTTGCATCAACAGAGGGATAGTATCAGGATCATTAAGAGCCGTGGTGGCATAGTGGTCAGAATGCAGTATTGCAGGCTAATTTCTGCCGACTGCCAGCAGTTCAATCCTGACCAGTTCAAGGTTGACTCAGCCTTCCATCCTTCCAAAGTCGGTAAAATGAGGACCCAGATTGTTGGGGGCAATAGGCTGATTCTGTAAAACTGCTTAGAGAAGGCTGTAAAGCACTGTGAAGCGGTATATAAGTCTAAGTGCTATTGCCATTGCTATCATGAGGAGTGACATTACTGCACTGGTAAGACCACACTTGGAATACTGAGTCCAATTTTCAAATCTCACAGCTTCGACCTCAAACTGTCTCCCGTGGACCTCACCCCATTCTTAAGAGGTCCTTAAAGGCAGCGTGCATAAATGCACCAGTGTGCCTACCGTCCCTGTCTTACTGTCCCCATTTTTCTAGATTTACTTCCTTTGTTCATGTTTATCTTCATACCTATACTTGTTTATCTTGTACATGTTTGACAAACAAAATAAAATAAACAAAATAAAATAAACAAATGAAATAAATTCTGGTCACCACGATACAAAAAGGATGTTGAGGCTCTAGAACGAGTGCAGAGAAGAGCAACAAAGATGGTTAGGGTACAATGAATGATTGAGGGAACTAGTTATGCCTAGTCTAACGAAAAGAAGGACCAGGAGGTGATGAGATAGCTATCTTCCAGTATTTGAGGGGCTGTCACAGAGAAAGCATCTGAAGGCGATGGAAACTAATCAAGGAGAGAACCAACTTGGCATTATGGAGGAATTCCACGACAATGAGAACAATTCATCAATGGAACAGCTTGCCTTCAGAAGTTGTGGGTGCTCCATCACTGGAGGTTTTCAAGAAGAGATTAGCCAGCCATTTGTCTGGAATAGTATAGAGCCATGAGGGTGAACCTATGACACGCAGAGCCATTTGTGCGGCTATGAAAGCCCCAAGCAAAATTACCTCACTGCGCATGCGCGCGTGCGCTTCCCAGCTGATTTTCCGGCCTTTTTTGGAAATACCAGAAGTGACAAAACGGGCCCATTTTTCGGCCTGCAGAGGCTTCCCTCAAGCCTCTGGCAGGCCGAAAATGTCCTCAAATAGGCTGAAGATCAGCTGGGAGGCACAGTGCATGTAAGGAGGCAGCAGCGTGGGGGGTGGGGAATCACGCACGCATGCGCAGGGTGCATGGGGGAGGCTGCGTGCATTGCCTTCTGGGTGCTGGCACGTCAGAGCGCGCGCACAAGCGCACACACAAATTTTTGGTACAGGAGTCCAAAAAGGTTAGCCACCACTGGTATAGTCTCCTGCTTCAGCAGCGGGCTGGACTAGATTATATCCAAGATCCTTTCCAACTCTGTTTTTTTTTTAATATACTACCTCAGGCTCAAAAGATCTGTTTGTTTCCAAGCTGGCTTTGGGAATTCTGGGAATTGAAGTCCACACATCTTAAAGTTGCCATCTTAAACAGCGCTCTGGGGCATATATGTACTCCTGTGACTCTGGTGCCTTCAGAACTGTAGCCAGTGTTCCTTGTAATAGAATAATTTATTGTGATAGAAGGCTTCAGCTCTCCTTCTTTTGAAATTCTCAGGAAGGAAGGAAGTTGTTTTATGTAACTTAAAATCTCGCAAACATGAGCCCAGATATACCTAAAACCATTTTTATTATTATTGTTATAATTGTAAAGGCAAGACATCTCTGATGGTGTTACTATGCTGATTTTTATTTGTTTTGAAAAGCGTACTTTGATCGGGGGATTTATTTTATTGTTGATCGGCTATAATAAAAATTCATTACTTCAAGAATTGGTGATAGATTTCTGCTATGAGCATCTTCAGCTCTACAAGAGGACAGCCACGATTTGTTTACTGCGTAGGGTTTAAAAAATAGTCTTCATTTTGAGATTTTTGCACATGGTTGGTTAACAGTCTGCTGACTCCGCTGAACATTTTTTCCCCAAATATTTCTTGCCCTGTCGAAGAGAATTCTATTTTCCTCATTGACTCTTGGGGCGATTTAGTATTTGATACTTCAGCTTCGTATTTTACAGGCAGTCTCAACTTACAACCAGAATGCCGTTGGCTAAGCAGGGCGATTGTTAAGTGAGTCACACCTGATTTTATGAGCGTTTTTGCCCTGGTTGCTAAGTGAGTCATTGCGGTTTATTTATTTGTTTGGAAAATTTATATTGCCACGTCCTCTCTCACGGTGACTCAGTGAAGTGAATCACATGGTCATTAAACGAATCTGGCTTCCTCCATTGACTTCGCTTGTTGAAAGACAGTTGTGGTGGTCGCATACATCAGTCATCTGAATCCTGAATAGAACATAGAACAGTGGTGGCTAACCTTTTGGGGCTCCTGTGCCAAAAATTGTGCATGCTCGCTTGCGTGCCAGCATCCAGAAGGCAATGCACGCAGGGCCCCCTTGATGAAACAGGCCTATTTTTCATCCTGCAAAGGCTGCAGAGGCTTCCCTCAAGCCTCTGGCAGGCCTCAAAAGGCCTCAAATGGGCTGAAAATCAGCCAGGAGGCGCACGCATACGCAGTGAGGTAAGCTTGCCTGGGGCTTTCATGCCCGCACAAATGGCTCTGTGTGCCACCTTTGGCACGTGTGCCATAGGTTCGCCATCACAGACATAGAGCAAGAAGATTGGAAGGGACCTTGGAGGTAGTTACAGATTAACAGGGTTGGAAGGGACCTTGTAAGTCATCTAGTCCAACCCCCTGCCCAAACAGGAGACCCTGTACCATTTTTGACAGGTGGCACTCCAGTCTCTTCTTGAAAGCCTCCAGTGATGAAGCTCCCACTATTTCCAAAGGCAAGCTCAGTTGATTGTTCTCACTGTCATTCTCACAGGCATTTTTTCCTTATTTCTAGGTTGAATCTCTCCTGGTTCAGTTTCCATCCATTATTCCTTGTCCGGCCTTCGGATTTTTACATCTTTGGACAAATGGATATCTGTTCAAAAACACATATAACTCACCTGTTTATCACTTTCATGTCATGTCCTAGTACCATTGTCTGCGCCTCGATCTCTCAGAACATCTGAGATCAGCCACAACAGTATCAAGCTCATGTGGGAACCAGTTGAAGGGGCCACGCAATATCTTATCCTGTCTTCCTCAACACCCAACGGTGCCGAAGATGATACAAAAGAGGTAATGAACTTGTGCTTCAGTCGCATTCACACTGTCCGTTGTGGCATCTTGTGCATTCCACTCTGAGGTGGAATGCAGTCTGGAGTCCCAGGAGGGAGAAGGCTGCCTTCCAGAGTGCAAAGAAGCTATGGAGTTTGGAATATCTGAGAGGCAGGAAGAAGGCAAAGACATCCCCTGAGTATATAGTTATGCAAATAGCTGCTTTATTCTGGCAAGATTCTGTCTGTAGGTAAATATAGATACTACTTGCAAGTAACTCCACATGTCGTTCTTGGTTCTTGGGTCTGGAGAACAATAAAGAAATCACAGGTATTTCTCATTTTATGACTACAATTGAACCCAAAATTTATGTTGCTAAGTGAGACATTTATTAAGTGAGTTTTGCGCCATTTTACAACTTTTTTTGCCACATTTGTGAAGTGAATCACTGCAGTTGTTAAATTAGTAACCTGATCGTTAAGTGAATCTGATTTTCACATTGACTTTGCTCGTTGGAAGGTCTCAAAAGGGGATCACATGACCCAGGAACATTACAACCATCATAAATGTGAGCCAGTGTGAAAAATGGTCATTTTTCAGTCACTCTTTTCAGTGCCATTGTAATTGTCATGCCCTTGGTGGAGTCTGACTCTGAGGAAGAGGAGGAACAGCCAACAGGGAGTGGAAGTGTGGCTCCAGAGGTGGTGGAGGAGGCTGGGGAAGGGCAGAGACCGACTGAGCAGTCAAAGGAGGACCCAGGCCCATCCCCTATCCATCCTAGGGCACGCAGGGAGGAGAGGATAAGGGAAGAGACGTAGTCTACTTGAGAGGAGAGGGCCTTGATCCCCTTCATGGGCTGCAGGTGTGCGATTTGCATAAGAGGTTGGACCTGCGTGCTAACAGATGCTGGAGACAAATTAGTGTTTTATTCCTAAAGAAGGTTTATCTTGGTTGGTGTTTTTCCAATGGACTGTCCCTGGTTATCTTCCTGAAGTTGGCAATTATCTATCCTGGTCTGTCGTGGAACTTTATTCAGTGCAGTTTGTTTTTGGTTTTTGCTTCGTTATCGGCTGTTTGAATTTGAACTGTGTTTCTTTCCTTTGAAGTGTTATTTTGAAAATAGTTTACTCCTCCACTGTGAACAACTAAACAGTGAAGCCAAGTTGAAGGCATTAAAGGACTTTTAGTTATGCTTTGGGTTTTGTTATATTTCTGATATACTTTGGGTCATCACAGTAACTTCAAACATCACTAAGTGAACTGAAGAGGACCCTCTCTGCTCAGAAGTAACTCCTCATGTTGTGACTCAGAAGTAACTCCTCCATGTCTCATTCTTGGGTCTGACATCAATTTGGCCAGATTAAAGCAAGACTTGCGGCATTACAGATCTATTCTCTGAACTGCTAGGGAGGTTCTGCCTTTCTCCTCTTCCTGCCTACCAGACATTTCAATCTCCACTGTGGAAATGTCTTTGAATATTAGTACCTCATGTTGGTAGTTATGTTGTTGGCTTGAGCACCAAGCTTGGCAATTTGGTTACAAATGTTTTGCCTCCATTCGAGGAGACATCTTCAGTGCACTTTGGATTGTGCTTGTTTGACTTTGGGTTGTGTGATTGGCTGGCTGTAGTTGCTGAGTCATAGTCCTTGGTTAATCCAACTACATAGTTGGTTAGTTGGTTAGGGGACTGGAGGCTAAAACATATGAAGAATGGTTGCAGGAATTGGGTAATGAAAAGAAGGACATGAGACCAGTGTTCCAACATTTGAAGGGCTGCCACAGAGAGTAGAGGGGGTCAGAAAGGTATTTAAATGCCAGAGCTCCTTCAGACAAGCACAATCTAAAGCACACTGAAGATTGTCTCTTCAAGAGGGGACGAAACATTTGCAACCTTTCTTCTGATCTCTGAGAAGCAGAATGAATCAGGAAATCAGGTTCACTTAACAACTGCAGTGATTCACTTAACAAATGTGGCAAGAAAAGTCATAAAATGGGGCCAAACTCATTTCATGAATTTTTCACTTATTTTTCACATAAATGTTGGGCTCAATTGTGGTCGTAAATTGAGGATTACCTCTTATGTCTGAGCTGCAGTGATTCGTATGACCACACGATGGCGCTAAAGAGATGCAGAAAATTCTGACTCTGCTTCCATCTAGTGGCCATCCAAATGTTTGCAGCCCGGATGAGGTTGTTCTAAGATTCCAACAGGAGAGAAGCTATGAAACTCAGTGTTCAACGGTATAGAGCAGGGGTCCCCAACCGCCGGTCCGCGGACCGGTACCGGGCCGCGGAACAAGCCTTACCGGGCCGCTGGTTGCTGGGCGCCGCCATCTTTTTTTTGGTAAAAAAGCGCTTCCGGTGAGCTTTCTACCCGGAAAAGCTCACCAGAAGCGCTTTTTTACCAAAAAAAAGATGGCGGCGCCCAGTTGACGCCGGTACCGGGCCGCGGCGCCCAGCTGATGTCGGAACCGGGCCGCGGCGTCGAAAAGGTTGGGGATCCCTGGTATAGAGGACTCTCTGCAAGGGTGGTATGCTACCGGTTCGCCCCGGTTCACTCGAACCGGTAGCAAAAATTGCTACCGGTTTACCCGAACCGGTCGTAAAAAAAAGCCTCCAAAGATCAGTTGAGAGAGAAAGAAGAGAAAAGCACAGGATTGGCTCTCCCACCTGCCCCTGCACTTTTCTATTCTTTATCCTCTCAGTTGATTGGCTCTGCAGGCCTCAGCTGGTGTGTGGAAAGCTGCGCACACGCGTTAGGTGCACGTGTGTGCAATCACCAAACTGGTAGTGGAACAGGTAGGACCCCACGGCTGACCCTCCGCTACTCTAAGATTGTAAAACACCCTTGTTTCTACGAACAGCAAGTTAAGGAAGCGATTCCCTTGTCAGCGGAGTTAAACACCAGTTCACTGAATGCATAACTCTACAAATAAAACAGTTTGAGACGGGAACACAATAGGAATGTCAGCTTGGTTCTTCCATCTTCCAGATGTGTTGCTACAAATACACTCAAGGCGATGCGTACATAACAGTGTCGCTGGGGAGTTAGTCGTGTAAATGGCAGAACATGATCAGGGAAGCTAGCTTCCCGCGGACCTTTCTTAATGAATCTGGAAAGCTAAAAGGGGACCCCCGGCTCCGGTTTTGTTTTCTTCGTGAATTCATTAAGATGAAGTCTGTGTGAAGCCACACAATCTTTCCTTTTCCCCCAAGTTTTCATGATAAAGTAAGAACTTGGTCTATGGTCTGTAGAGGGACTGCCCACCTGCTCATGGTTATGCTAATAAGTACATATTTTTTCTTTTTCAATTTCTGAACCAGCTCGTAGAGAGAGAGAGAGAGGTTCACAATGACCAAGTTGTGCACCCTCAGTAGGTTGGACTATCCTTCCTTCTTCCCTTCCTTCCTTCCTTCCTCCCTCCCTCCCTCCATCCTTCCTCCATCCATCCATCCACCTCCTCCCTTCCTTCCCTCCTTCCTCCCTCCCTCCATTCTTCATCTATCTATCCACCCATGCACCCCCCCTTCCTTCCTCCCTCCCTCCTCCCTCCCTCCCCCTTCCTTCCTTCTTTCCTTTCTCCCTGCATCCATCCATCCATCCATCCCCCTTCCTTCCTCCCTCCCTCCCTCTCTCACTTCCTCCCTTCCTTCCTTCCTCCCTCCCTCCCTCCATCCTCCCTCCCTCCTTCTTCATAAAATAACAAGAGTTGGAAGGGACCTTGGAGGTCATCTAGTCTAACCGCCTGCTTGAGCAGGAGAGGCTACTCCAAATATTAGCCTCTATCTAGGATCGAACTTACAGCCTCCTGATTGTGAGGTGAGAACTCCACCTCTAGGCTACCAGATCTGCCTCCATGCACCCCCACTTTCTTCCTCCCTCCCTCCTTCCTCCATGCATCCCTCTTCCTTCCTCCTTTCCTTTCTCCCTGCATCCATCCATCCATCCATCCATCCATGCATCCCCCTTCCTCCCTCCCTCCCTCCCTCCCTCCCTCCCCCT